TTGGCCAACTGCCTACAACTCTGTGCAAGAATACCACTTTGTGGGAGCAAGGAGAGGCATTTTAGAATTTTGACAAATAACATCCAATGTTAGTCTCACGGTGAAATTTGTAACTGTCTTCTTCCCGTCACACATCTCAACTTTCTTCTCTACAGCATTTTTTAAAAAATCTGAAGCAATATAAAAGATCTTCAGCTGACTTGTAGGAGCAAATAACATATGTTCTTGAACATCTGTGGTTTTCCCAAGCTATTTTTTTCCATTATTGCCAAAAGAAAAGAAGTTTTGTGGAATGTTTCTCCACAGAGGAACAAGTCTATAATATTCCCTGTTGATTACATATAAAAGACCCAAAATATTAGTTTATTAAAAGCAGCTTCAACCATTGCTTTACAAAGCAGTTCTCCAATGGAACAGATTTATGAAGTAACGGCCAAAAGGTATGCAGATCACAAGATCCATGACAAATGTACTTTATTACATGGATCAGAAATTCCATATGCACGAGCAGTTACTGTACAATGATACACAACACCCAACTAAGACCACTAAATGGCTGTGCTGATATTGAAAACTATAAGGACACAATGTGAGAGTGAGCAAGTGTTTCATAAGTTAGCATAACGCCAAGACAATTCATCACTTAGGAAATAAAATACACTCTGCATATTATAAACAATATATTATAAAGCTATGCCACTCTTTAAATTAAAATTTGAAAGTCTTTACCCTTCCCATTGTTTAAAGCAGATGTTTATAATGTTTTTCCATACTTTAATTTGGAACTTAGTTGAATGAATACCAGATTTAGTAACATTCACAAAATTATGATTACAGATTTTGTTATTTCCATCCAAAAAATTATATTTATGTCTACAATCATATAGTGCCAAACGACTGGATAGAGCAAAATAAGTACAATACATCTCAAACACAGCAACTTTCTACAGGGCATTGCTTGGCTGAAAAGCACTTTAACAGCTGTCAACATAAATTTCAATCACAGTATTTGAATCCATCCTGCTACATTCCAACCAAATGTCCAGCCAACTAGTCCAGCCTGAGCTTGGTGGGGGTGGGAGGGTGTGCTACTCCAGACCCTGTGGTTAGAAAGTTCCTCTTTAGATCATAGGTATGAATTCTACTCAACATAGCCTTTCTTACTATTTAATAGTTACACAGTTTTGGGTATTACCTCTTCAAACTGCTTCCTCTTCCGAAACTAGGGATAAGAATACTGACCCCACAACATTCTTTTACAGATTCAGTAATATATGTAAAGCATTTAGCAGAACATATATACTCTAAATGTCGGCTTTTGTGATATATCTACTATTATTCTATCAAATGAGTCTCATTTGACATCACATTGTATTTCCTCCCTGCTCTAAAATAGGTACAAAAGACCTTTGGCATTAAACTATGTAAATTTTGTTTCTTTTTGTAAGCAAGCCCCAAACCTGGTCTTGGCCATTCTGGCTGCCTAACAGGCCCCCGGGGACAGTCGGGTGGCCTCTGGCATGGTATAAGAATGGAGCAGGCCCTTCTCACCTCCAAACATTTTCTTGTACAACTGGCATGTTATCTGTTGCAGTGGTGTCTTTATATGACAGCTAATACAAAAGAATTGTATTTTGTGCCTCCCACAAATTTTAATCACTCTGCCAGGTGATGTCAGAAGTTAGTTACTTAGCTAATAAAATTAGCCATCTGCCAAATATCTGCATTTCAATTGTAGTATTTATAAATTTGGCAATTTCTTATGATCTCTTTAATCCCTCCAATTTTATTCTGTGGCTAGCATCTTCACTAGTCTAACTACCCATCGTGAATGTCACCAGAACATTTCAGATGTTTGAATCAAGTCATCTATAGCCAGTAAATTATTCTTCATCTCTTAAAAATCATATTCCAAATATACAGATCCAAAGTTTGAAAACATCCAAATTTTTTAAGCAACAATATTGTGTGCATTTTATGTAGCATGTGAACTAGTGGGAAAAGACATGTATCTACAGTAACATGACAGTGGATTAAAATGATAGAGCCAAAGCCACCACTAGTTTCTACCTTAGAGCTTCAACTATAGTTCACGTTTCTCTTGACTAGTCACTGACACTAATGATCATGGACTACACCTTTTCCTTTCCATTGACCAGACCATTCTTAACAAAGTGTTGCCTAGGAAAATCCAGTCTGGTTTAGGCTCAGAGGTTTGAGGGGTCTAGAAAGCATTTCTCTACTAAAATCTATTCTTTCTCTGATCCTGAGTCTCCATCAACCTAATCCATCATGGGTTGAACCATTATTTTTTGGTCCTATCCCCAAATTATCATTACTCTTGGCAGCTTTATACATCCTTGAGAGGCAGAATGGCATGGTAAGAAATGGACTACCTGAATTTGAATCCCAGATCTCCTGGCTCTAGTGATACGATTTGTTCACTTTGGTTGTATAGAAAATACTCATACCAATTCAAAGGATTGCTGAGTGGCTTAAATGAATTAATACTTTAAGAAATTTTAATTCTGTATTCTTAAACATTTTAAAATTTTGTTTCTCTAAACACAAAATATTACATTCCATTCCTAATACGATTTGGCTCAATGTAATTCCAAAAATGATTTGGTGCTTGAGCTCCCCCTGGCGGTTCTACAGTAACTCTGTATAACATCAGTCAAGTAAAAAGATGACAAACTTCAAAAAGATAGGTATTTATATACAACATTAAAGAAGTGTGCTATCCTTTTCAATTTATTAATCTTGAAGAATAAAGGGGAAAGGAATTTATCACATCCCTGCACTAGTTTTGGAACGCCAGTCTAAATTTCCTGCCCAAATCTGAGATGGGACAAATCCTGCTGTCAGCACAGTTCAGGAACTCAGTGCCCTGGACCTGTTCTCAACACAGAAGACAATTTTTGTTCAGTAGCTAATGTTCAAAAGGCTCTGACACTCCAGAACATGATTCCCAACAAAGTTTTGGGTAGTGTTTTATTAATTTTTAAATTAAATCCTGAATGGACAAATTTCATGATTGAACAAAATTCAGTGAACGTCCTAACATCACAGGCCCTGCTGAGAGAACAAAGCTTTCAAGTCTGGAGTTGAATTAAATGGCCATACAAAATGTGAATAGATACCTGGCCCTGGTCTTGCACTTCAATTCAAAGAAAACCCAGTTGGAAAATATCTGACAATGCCAAAATTTAAATGAGTGTCAAGTGCATAACATCATTACACAATTCTTGAGATGAAATATGATTTTATTATTGTCAGTGGCTTAGACAGTAACATTTTACTTTATGAATAAACATTTATGTACCCACTTATCCCTCATGAAAGCTATGATTACTCACAATTATGCCAAAACAGACTGCAAATGACATCTTTCAAATTACATCTTGTTTTTTGCAATGCAGGGACTCGATGCTAGGACCTCATGTGTGCAAGGCAAGATTTGTGCAAATGAGCTACATCCTTAACCTTTTCTTAGCTTGTTTTCAGAAAATTTAATAAAATTATTCACTAACTTTTCAAAGAACTGAGTAAATTGAGAAAATCTATTATGTTAAAATAATTTCAATATTTTATTGGCATTAAATTTTATAGATTCCAATCTCCCATAGGGTTTGAGTTATCCTGATTACCTGTATTGTGCCCCAGTATAGTAGTGTTTGTGTGGCACAAAGTTTGTGACCTCATGGCCAAGTGACTCTATTTTAATACATTTCACCTTTAGTTGGTTTTCCTGTGTAGTAAATATCCTGCTCTGAGCAGATATATAGCTCTCAGCTCTAAAAGGATACTTTGTTTTGTTCCCTGTGTTTCTAAGATCGGTGAAAATTCTTGACACACAGTAGATACTGTGAATTTAGATAATCTAAGTCAAATTTCACAGGGAATGCTAAATTTAGATGGTTTAACTAAAATTAAATGAGTGAAATTAGCAAATCACAAGACGGACTTAATTACAACTACAGTGGTATTTTTGTTTGGTTTGGGGGAGGGTCTTGGGTTTTTTGACACAGGGTCTCACTTCATAGTGCAGGCTGGCCTTGAACTCATAGCAACCCTCCTGCCTCAGGTGGAGCTACAGGCCTGCACCACCATGCCCAACTACAGTGATATCTTGGTAGTGATCTTTAATTTGTTCCAGGAGGCAACTAGTACCAAAAACAAGTTCCAAATTGTTTTGGCTGGAAAGAGTAGTCATAAAGCAAGTGACATCAACAAGTTGTAGCTTGTATATGTAGTACTGGTACAATATTTTCATATCAGAATGCATCCTAGTACCAAATTCAGCAAGTTTCAAAGCTGTTGAGTAACAAGGCAGGACTATAATTTCACTGTAGCAACAGCATTCCAACAGCATACTATTCTATTTCTCAGAGAACTAGTATCAGAGTCAAAGTTGAGTAAGCCTCATTAGTTCTAGATCTCTTCATAAAACTATTTATACTAAGCTAATACTTCCTGTGAATCTTTGACTATACAGCACTTCCCACAAAATTTTTTTTTTTTTTGGTACTGGGGATAGAACTCTGGACCTTGCACTTGTGAGGCAGGCGCCAGAACCACTGAGCTAAATCCCCGGCTCTATTTTTTTTTTTTTTTTTGAGACAGGGTCTCACTATTAATTCAGGCTGGCCTTGAACTCATGGTGATCCTCCTGCCTCAGCCTCCTGAGAGCTAGGATTACAGGCATGCACCACGATACCTGGACACAAATACATTTTTAAACCAATCATCTGAAGAAACAGATTCTGAAGAAGTCTCTGAGAAATACTGCATTATATTATTTCAGGCTACAGTGAAATACTATATTATTTAGGTTAACACTGAAGAATATTAAGCTTCTAGGAAAAACTGAAAGATTCTAATTTCCTAGAAAATACACTGATTTGTGTTTATTAGCATTCTAAAATTTATATGAAGAATTGGGTGTTCTCTAGTACGAGAGAAGTTCAGGAATATAAAAAAGATCAAACTTCACAATCTACACACAAAGTATCTTTTATTCCGAATTATACAAAATCAAAACTCCAAACAAGTACTGCTTATGAGATCTACCATTGTATTTTTAAATATGACTACATCATAGCTTTTTTTAAATGAGTTCACTCAAATTTTTGTCAGTATATCATTTACTTTACTGACTATAATTACCAAGTTGTAAAAACAATTACAACCATGTTAATATTTCACAGGATTTTGATGTCTGATAAGACCTGAATATTGGTCAATTTCCAACTAAAACATCAATACAGCTCTTATCCAAAGAAAACACTGTATTCAATTTCCCAAAACAAATTATTTTGGATTTGAAGTGAAAAAAGGCCAAGTTAAAATATGAACAGAAAGAGTTTTCATTTAGTAGGATCTGAAATCAATGTGTACTTTCTAATCAAACATTTCTCCCACTTGGCATTTCTACCACGTGACATTTCTATTTTTCAGGGTCTACCAGGCCAAACCCTTTGCTGCCTTTGCTGCTTTTGCTTTGCTTTTCCCGTGTCTTCTGTCTCGTTTTGCCTTCAGCCTTTTTCTCTGCCTCTGGTTCATCCATACTGGGTACTGTCCATTCTGGTCCAGAAGAGTCTTTTTGTTTCTCTTTATCTCAATCTCCATTTCCATGTCATCTGAATTTAAAAAAAAAAAAGGAAAAATCATTAACATTCATGTTTAAAAACACCAATCCTGTGAAAGCCCACGAATGCCCTGAGTACATCAGAATTGAAAGTACAGTACTGACTGAAACTACAGAAGAAAAAACCCTGGTTTTATGGAATATTCTTTGTCACTGAAAAATTCTTACAGCAAATTCAGTGCAATCAGATAATCCTGTCATGTCTTCCTACAACCATGAAAGATATAAAAAATGTTTGTGAGTAACTAAGGACACCATCTGTTTACTCACTGAGAAACTTAATGAAGACTGTTGTCCCAAATGTCCTTTGGAATAATAAAGTTAAACAGGAAATATTTGGGATGTACAGTATAGTTTTGAGTTACTGCATCAGTAGGTAACATATGGCTCTGAGCACATGTGAGTTGTAAGAGCACCTCTCATACTGATTCCTTGGGTTAAATAAGATCGTTGAGGCACTAAGAGGTGCACTCATACTTTTCATGGGCAGGACTTAGAAGTGAATGAACTAATTAAAAATCACTGTCCATTTCTTGTGAACTTGAACTAAATTTTTAAAAATATATTTGTATTCTTTCTGTACTGGAGACTGAACCCAGAGCATTGTAAGCAAGCATTCTACCACTGAGCTATAGCCCCAGCCCTTTTTATTGTTTTGAGAAAGGATCTTGCTAAGTTCTCAAGTTGGCCCTGAACTTGTAATCCTCCTGTCGCAGGCCTTGAGTAGCTAGGATTATAGGCATGTGCCACCATGCCTGACTTAAATTTTAACTATATTCTAATGAACTTAGAATAAATTCCTAATGAGCTCAGTGGTGTGGTCAGCAGCAAGGTTGTGATGACAGAGATGAGAAGACAACAGAGAAGAAAGATCTAGACAACTGCTGAGGCTGCTATACACCTATCCAGATAACATCTAGTGACCCACTTGTATTGACAGAGGATTTGGCAGAAAGTTCTCTGCAAACATGCTGTGGCATACCTATGACCAACCTTATCTACTGGGAAAGAACATGCCCAGAATGCCCTTCCCTGGGACCTAAGCCTGACATACAAGATCTACTATTATCTTTACTACCTGACATTGTATTATTAGTCATCACTGTTTCCACACTGCCTAAACAGTGCCAGTGCGTAATAGCCACTTAGTAACAAGTTGTTGAGTGATTATTTTAGGTCTTCTAGTTACCCGGGATATCATGGTCCATAAATGCTCCTTGCCCTCATGGAATTTATAACATTCAGTCAAGGGAGATTAACAGAAGAAAAAAAGAAAGAAAATTTCAGCTTGTGGTAAGTGGTTTTTACAAATGTACTGGAACTAGACCAGACTAAGACTTGGTAGGCTCTGAAAGCATGCTAATTTTAAAATCAGCCAAAGGACTTGAACACTTTTCTCTAAAGAAGATAAAGCCAGTAAGTATATGAGAAAATGTTCACCATTACTAGGTATTAGGCAAATCAGAATCAAGAGATACTGCTTTAGACCTAGGAAGATGGCTATAATAAAAAAGTATGGGAAATAACCATTAGCAAAGGTGTAAAGAAAACAGAACCCTCCTACATTGCAGGCAGAAACATAAAATGGTGTAGCTGATGTGGAAAACAGTAAATAAAGGATTAGCATATGACCCAGCCACTTCATTCTTTTTTTTTTTTTTTCCCCAGGTACCAGAGCTTGAACTCGGGTCCTTGTGCTTGCGCAGCAGGCAGTGAAACCACTGAGCTAAATCCCCAGCCCAACTTCATTCTTAAGTATATACCCAGAAAAATTGAAACAGGTATTCAAGCAAAAACTTGTACAAAAATGTTCACAGTAGCACAGTTCACAACTCAGAAGTTGGTAGCAACTCAAATGCCTATCAATTAATGGATAAAATGTGATATATAAAATGACCTATTTTCAACCTTAAAAGGGAAGTACTGAAAATGCTACATACAATGTGGGTGAACCTCAAAAATATTATGCTAAGTAAAAAAGGTAAGGCACAGAAGATCACATATTACAGCATGTGATTGATTTATGACATGCAAAATAAGCAAACTGAGACAAAAAAACACATTACCAACTGGCAGAGACCAAAGCAAATTGAGAGACAAAAAAGCACATTACCAACTGGCAGAGATCAAGGGTTGGAGGAAGGTGGAGACTGTTTAGTAGGCAGGGCTTCCTTTTAGGGTGATGAAAATGTTTTGGAACTAGACGTGATGGCTGCATAACACTGTGAGCATACTAAATGGGGCTGAACTGTACACAATAATTTTGTATTACATGAATTGCCTCAACAACAAAAAATAGAGTAAATGGGCAGGAGTGGCATGAATGTGAAAAAAGGAAGACAGAAAGCAAAAGCAAGTGTTTCAAAAGTTTCCAAGAACTAAAATAAAGCAGATTGAGAGAAACGTGTGCTCAAGGGAAAAATTTTTCTTTTTTTTTTAAAATGGGACATCTCAGAATACATTTATGCTGCTGAGAATGACCCAGCAGAATACTGATAAGAAAGACACATGTAATTACAGCCCTTGAGAATGCAATAGAAGATTCAAAACAAGTGGAGAATCTAACCTTTGAGAGATTAATAAAAGAGGGAAAACAGACTACACATTTAAATTCTTATAGTGTGTGGTAAGGGAAAGATGAGACTATTTCTACTTTTTTTTTTCTTTTTTTTTTTGGTACTGGGGATCGAACTTGGGTCCTTGCGCTTGTGCAGCAGGCGGTGAAACCACTGAGCTAAATCCCCGGCAAATACAGTACTTTTTTTTTTTTTTTTTTTGGTACCGGGGCTCGAACTCGGGTCCTTGCGCTTGTGCAGCAGGTGACGAAACCACTGAGCTAAATCCCCAGCCCAAGACTATTTCTATTGATCGTCTCTAAATTTTAAAGAAACTGAATTTAAGAGAGGTTTTTTTTTTTTTTTCATTTTTAGTAGAATGAGATGAGAGAATTGGAATGGAAAAATTTTTTAGTCATTTTGAAAAATAGAAAAGTCAACTTCTGGAATTGGAAAGTTGAACAATACTGTTCTCTTCTTTGACTATACGACACCAAATAAATATGTCTATTTTAAGGCCCTCACTTAATTTAGCTTCCTAGGGCCGGGGATTTAGCTCAGTGGTTTCGCCGCCTGCTGCGCAAGAGCAAGGACCTGAGTACGATACCTGGCACCAAAAAAAAAAAAAAAAAAAAGAAACAAAAAAATAAAAAGTGATACTTAATTTAGCTTCCTACCAAACTGATACATTAGGATGTGAAAACTAATAAGCCTTTTCCTCTGCTAAAACCAGCACTATATCCTGTCTCCAACTTTGGACTATGACTAAGATACAAAAGTTCTTAGTTTGACAAAATCAAATGCAGTAAAACTCTGGGACTTTCAGGGTAACAAGAACATAGGACTTATAGACCAGAATGGAAACTAGACCTTGCAAAGAATAAAATGACCTCTTTCTATCTGCCCAGACTCTGAATTGTCTACCTTTCCAGTCAGGGCATGCTTAGGTTTTTATCTATTCCTGATATACTCAGGCTACTATGAAGACCCTTCTGAATAATCCAAAACATCCCTGGTCAAATGAACTGGATTTTAAACAATTTAGAACAGATTCTCTCATAGCACTATATGCCTTCGAAGAATAAATACGTGGGCATTTCTGCTGTGTAGAGGAGAATATGTGGAGATGGATAGAGGAAAATCACAAAAGGAAAAAGAATCGTAAAAGGAAACTGATAAAATTGGGCTATTTTTAATGAAGCATATAAAATTACCTTTTTCGTCATCATTCGCCACACAGTCCATTTTCTCTTGGCACTGTTTAGGTACCACCACAGTTGCTATCTCCCGAACATCTTTCATTAAAACATCGCAGTCTACTTTGAGAATATTTTTAAGTCTGTTGAGCTCCTTTGGCGCATTCTTTTTTCTCTTTTCAGCACGCATTTTTCTTTTCCACTTACTCCGTAAACTTTTAGCCATGTTTTACCTGGCAGTTAACAAAAGCAAATTATTATAATAAAAGGCAAATCCTTGGAAAATCAGGTCAGTGGGTATCTTTACAAAACAGGTATTAATGGAGGGTGAACTCTTCACTGTGTTCAATATCTATGGTAAATTAATGTGCCACTTACGTGAGGATCAATGTGGAACATGCAGCCATTAAATAACAAGAATGGCAAATCAAACTACCTCGGGCAATGGCAAACCATACATCTTGCCAATTCTGAAAGCTAGTTTTATAAGTTGCAGAAATAAAATTTCCCTCAAAATTCAAGGACTGTCATGTCCTTATATTTATGTAACAGTTTACAATTTACAAAATAATTTTTATAAAATCATTTAATGCACTGTTTCTCATTCACCCACTCAAGCCAATCCAACTACCTTAAATGTATCTATTTCCATTCTTGCTTTCTCTCCACTTCCAGTCCCAACACTGAATCTTTCACAAAGGGGTTAGTGTGAACACTGTCTTTTAAAAAATTTTTAACGACTTCTCCCCTCATATATTGCAGATCTAAAAGGCTGAGATCTGTCCTCTGCTTCCTTCAATTCTCACTGTTCCCCCTCCTTACCCCCTTACCACCAACATCTGTTAAAAGTCCAACTACGTTCACTTCAATGTCCTGACATTTGCTGTTCCTATGCCTGGAAACTGCTCTTCCCAAGGCTTGGTACCTTTCAGTACCTCAAAGTACATCGCTGAGCCCTGCACGCTCCCGCCCTGCTTAATGTGTGTTATAACCTGAAGCTATTTTGTCACTTTCGATGGACTGTAGGCTCCATGAAGGCAGAGGTTAAGCAGCTCTTGTTCACTGTTGGATCCCTCAGTGCACAGGACTCTGCATAAAGGATAAAATTTTGTTGCCTAGATAATTAGCCGGAAACCATATTCTGATCGCGCGTAATCACAAAACTGTGTGCCTTGCTCTAAAATGATCCAAACCCTGCGGGAAGTGTTGCAGTACACAACTCCGAGAAGCAAAGTTAACCTCAGCGGGACTGAATGACAAGGAACGCCTCCATTTTACACAAAGAAGTCAGAGGGCAGCCCCTACCAGGGACTTTCGCTCTTGACAGTCCTGAATTTTCAAACCCGAGGTCAAACTTGGCCGAAAGAAAATCGGGGCTTGAGAAGAACTTCTCTGAGTGGCAGGGGAGAGCTCAAAGTCTCACTAGATTCAGGAGGAACGGAACTCACCGGAGAAACGAGTATGCTCACCGAAAAGAACACACGCCAACCGGAAGTCCCCACACTTCCTCTTTCCTGCCACGGCAGGCGCAAGGCACGCCGGTACGTCAGAGAAAGCCTTGAGAGGCGGGGTCTCTGGAGCCAGTCGCTGGCGCGCCTTTCGCCTTTGGTGTGCGCGTCCACCTTTGAGCGTGGCTGGACTCTTACAGGTGTAAGAAGTCGGATTTGGAGAATGCAAAAGAGTGTTTCAGGGTCAGGCTGCAGGTAGGCAGGTAGGTAGGTAGGTCCCGAACGCAGGAGGGATACCCCTGAAACTCTTGTCACAAGGAGTGAACCCGGCCAGGGAACCCTCCCTGTCAGATAAGGCAATAAGAGCCCACCTGTCCAACCCCAGGCCAGACTCAGTCACCCAATAATCTTGGATTTGCTTAGAGCTAATCATCCTGGATGATCAGTTTATTTAAAGCCTGGACATTTTCTCATCCCAGTTGTACGTACACATTAAATACGTGCAGCTTAGTATAACAAATCTCAAAGCTGTTACTAAAAACGTAATTATTCCTATCCCAAAGAAAAGTTTAAAGGATCAAAGAAGATCTTTTAAGAAGAGTTTAAAATGATCAAACTATTCCAGTTTAACCAATGTTTACCTATCTGAACACTTATATACCACTCTACTAAGCCTAAGAAGTAGGTTTGTTCTAAGGTCACAAATAGCATTATTTTACATATGCTTCTAATAACATAGGCCTGTTTGCTTGCTTTTTTTTTCTCTTTGTGGTGCCTGGTGTAGAACCAAGGGCTACATACATGCTGGGCAAGTAGTCTACCAATAAGTCACACTCCTACCTCCTTGCATAGGCTTTAAAACCACACAATTCTGTGTTGTAATTCTTGGCTCCAACACTTGCGCATGAGACAAGTGAATAATGAATGTCTTAGATCTTAGATTTCCTTGTCCCTATGGTGATGATACAATCTCATTGACCCTAGATAGGTGATGAGAGCAACAAATGGTAGCACTTTTTCTGTATTGTAGATTCAAAAGTATAGCTGACCAGTGCTATTTGCAAGCAGTGTCTCCTAGAGACTTTAAATATGTACTAAAAAGCAAGAAAAGAATTGTCTTTAGTGATGGCCTAGTAAATTCCTTTCTGGCTGATAGTAAAGAGATTTCTTTGTGAGACAATTTGTGATTACCTTTTTTTCTTTAAATCTCTGTCTTTTAAGAAACCATAATATGGAAATTACTGAATTCAGAATACTGTGCATTTTTAAAAACAGGCTGAAAAATTCAGTCTTTCAAATTAGAATGTGGCCACCTATCCCCAAAAATGTGTTTATGTATATTGCATTTTAAATTAGAAAATGTTCTCTTTCAGATAGTTCAAATTGACTACAAGAAGCTTAATATGCTAGCCCAAAACTTTTCACCAGAAAATCTGGCACCAAAAAAAAAAAAAAAAATCCTATTATGAAAATATCATAGTGTTAAATGCCACAAATTCAACATTACAAATACCTTTAAAAGCTGGATCATGGGCTAATTATTGAATAAAGAATTTTTTCATTATGTCCCTCACCAATTTGTATGAAAGTACTGTAGTTCTAACACAATTAAATGATCTTAATATATTTTTTGAATTTTTTTATTGGTTGACCTTAGTATATGTAAAATCCTTAATCTACTCATTCATGCTTTCCAGTATATACTCTATAATAGGCATTTTGATGAATATACAAAGGTCATGGAAACCAAATGACTGTGTTTGGAAAACTTTAACCTCTGATGGAAGAATAAGGTTTAAAGTTCCCCTCTTCAGAGCTGGAAGAAAGTGATGGAACTAAAGGCACTGAGGGTAGTGCTAGAAATTGACAGGCAGCCAACTGATTACCCATCTATAAAGCCCTGGTAGCCTACTAGAACCAGCCAGTGAGTGGGGGCCCTGCAGCCAGGCCTCTCCGTGGAATTTGTGATATGCACTGTGGCTTAATAAGGAATAGGAAGATTTCTGAAATTCAGGTGGTGACCCATATTATCAATCCTGTAGATGATGGGGACTTCAAAGCTCTACAAAGATAAAAGTAAAAAGAATCTAATCCTGGCTGCTCCAAAAAGGCCTGTGGCTAGCTGCAGACATCACTAATCCTCAGACTGCATTTAAGTGGATAGAAGCCATGTTTGAGGCCTGCAAAGAAAAAAAGGTGAATACATATGGCTCACTGCATGTTTTCACAAATGACACTCAATATATACAAAAGTTTTCAGATTCCACTCTTCTCTCCTTTTCCTGCCACCATTCTGGCTGTTTGTTCTTTGCATACTAAGCAGCCTGTTGCTCTGTCCAAGTCCTGCTAGTCCACTTTTCAAAAATTTTCTCAAATTTTTATAGTTATACATTTACGTGATATAAAAAATCGAAGTTGTAATGCCCTCATAGCCAGTAATTTTCTCATTATACTCTCTACTTATGCAAACTCTCATGTCTGTAGCAGGATACATGCAAGATGTACAGAGTAGCACTGACAGTAAAAAGGAAGAGCCATATAAAATTCATTGGCTGAAAAATGTATGATTGTGGTTCATTTATAAAATAGAATATTTATATCAGTACTTTTCAAACATTTTGGTCCTGAGATCACTTTATACCCAACAATTATGACACATATCAAAAATTAAACATGAGGTAACCCACTTTCCGGTTCCCCTTCTGTTTCTCTTAGACAGAAGCTATCTTTCTCTCAATAAATTTTTCCTACTCTTAAAAAAAAAACTTTTTTTTGGAGATGTAAGTCATCAAAACGGATAAACTTGTTAGATAACATTATAAAAAATATATTTCTTAAACATAAAAGAATGTCATTCTTACATTTTTAAAATGTCATGTTTTTATTTTTAGTCAATTCATTCTATTCTACATTTGAATTGAAAATAATATTAACTATGTACTTAGTTTATATATCTATCTCATTTTATTCTTTTAACAACCCAATGAGTTATTATTATTCCCATTATAAAAATCAGGCAAAAGGGCCAGGGATTTAGCTCAGTGGTTTTGCCAGCTGCCTCACAAGCGCAGGGTCCCAAGTTCGATCTCCAGTACCAAAGGAAAAGAAAAATTAGGCAAAAGACCTAAATAAAGCAGGCTGAGTAACTTGCCAGTTAGTTGCATATTAAGAATTATAACCTAGATACTATACCTAGATCACTATACTACATAACATTTGACTGTATTGCTTCCTGCAACTGGGTGATTATTAAGCAAAGGATTGATGATCTAAAAGTCACTAGAGACTAAATCTATACTACTAATTTATTTTAATAGCTGGAAAATGATGCTTAGTGAGTCAAAACAGCTGACTTGTATCCCCTAAAAATTCATATGATGAAGTCTTAACCTCAGAATGTGAATAAGGAATTTTAGATTAAATCACTAAAGATAAATGATGTTGTAAAGGGGTAATTAAGGAAAAATGAAGTCATTAAGGTGAGCCCTCATCAAATATAACTGATTTCCTTGTTAGAAGGAATTTGGACATAAAGTGAAAGACCAGGTAAAGATAGCAAGAAGACATCCATCTACAAGCCAAGGAAAGGGGCTTCAGGAAAAAAAAAACATGTCTAACAATACATCGATCTTGGACTCCCAGCCTCTAGAACTGTGAGAAATAAATTCCTGTTGTTTAAGCCATTTGTCTATGGGTATGTCAGCCCTAGCACACTAATATAGTTGTCCCCACTTATCTGTGCGGATATATTCCAATACCCCAGTGGATGCCTGAAACCACAGAAGTACCAAACCCTATCTATACTATGTTTTTTCCTATACATGCACACTTATGATAAAGCTTAATGTATAAATTAAGCATAGTTAAGAGATTAACAAAAAATAATTATAAAATAAGAGTGATTATAACTAATAACTATATTCCAATAAAAGTTATATGAATGTGGTATCTCAAAATATTGTACTGTATGTACTCTTCTTGTGAAATGAAATGATATAAAGCTTATGAGATGAGATGAAATGTGAATGACAGGCACTCATGTAGAGGTAGGCTACTATTAACCTTCTGACTGTGTATAAGGAAGATCATCTGCTTCAGGTGATCCTGGATCACTGAACCATGAGAAGTAGATAATAGGTACAGTTTAGATACACTTGACAAAGGGATCATGTCTCAGGGAGGACGGAGCAGAACAGCATAATATTATATCATGCTACTCAGAACTTACACAATTTTAAAGTTATAATATTTCTGGAATTTTCTGCTTAGTAGTTTTGGACTACAATGGCCTTTAGGAAACTGAAACCACAAACTATGAAACTGTAAATAGGGAGGAATACTTAGAGTGAAGAAATTTGCCAAAACTTCATGGGTCACTGGTATGCTTACCTATATATTATATGGACAAACACAAATGAACTACAAGACACTATTTTCCAAATATTTTTATTTTCGGTATATGTACTTAATGTCAAATGGGCCAGTATCTTTGGGGTCCTTTAACAATATAATCATGCTATATAATTTTAAAATGAACCCTGTACTTAAAAAAAAATTACTGTCAAATTTTATCTGACTTTCAAACAGACTTTTACATTTTAATACATCATATATTTAATACATTTTGTAAGAAAATGTCATTAACAGTACAATACAATTTTAATCAATACTGAATAATTATCTAGAATTTATCTTTTATAATTTTTACTGAGATTAAAATCTAGTGAAAGTAGATTTATACTTTATAATGGTGGACACTAGTACTTCAGAATCAGAATCAAATCTGTTAAATAAGGGAAATTTAAATTAAATCACTAAAGATAAATGTTGTAATATAAAATTTCTTTTAAATTACAAATGAACAGTTAGGTATGGCCAATTCAGCACTGAAAAATAAAAAGAATTTTTACATCTCTTACCTGATTTACAAGGATTTAGAAATAAGATATACCATAAAGAATAGTGAAATTTTAAAGCCCAGAAAATTAATAAAGACTATAAAAGTATTTAACACTTAATTAAATCTCAAACTTTATTACTTAATGAAAGTCTTAAATACTGCTTTCAATTACTTTTTATTAACTGCTTCCAAA